CCGCGGTGCCCGCGCTGGGCCCGGTTCGGGCCCGGTCGCGTCCTGCCACGACGGGGGACGTGGGAACCAAGGAGACCCCGTGTGCCACGCGAGCTGCAGGGGGGGAGCGCTGTGTGCGCCGTAACTCGCTGCTGTGCCCTAATTTCTCTCTTTTTTTCCCCTAGGAAAAACGTGACGTTTGGGCTCCTGCGGCTTGAAGCACTGTCGCCAGCTCTATCCCTCCTGCTTCTTGGCCCTTTGGAGTGGCCAAGTGAGCTCCCGTGCCACAACCAGCTTCTGCTCCTGGTACGCGCCGCCGCTGGGGACGGTTTGTGTCCCCCGTTGTCACCTGAGCAACCACCAAAATACAGGGTTGGGGCTGTGCTATGGAACAAATGAAACCCGGTGTTGCCCCAGCTCCTGCGGTTCTGCGCTTCCGCCGCAGCCCGCACAGCCCGTAAATGCACCGGCCCTGCCAAAGGTGCTGCTGTTTCTTGTCCCGTTCAACCCGCACTGGCGCCCTGCTGGAAAGGGGATAACGGGATTCTCTTCCCTCGAAGCCGCAGTTCCGAAGCAGCAGCCGACACCTGCTCCCGAGCCCGGAGGAAAGCCGAGCCGGGGCGGCCGGAGCGCGGTGGGGACAGTCCCCTCCGGTGACCTCCCCTGCAAACGCCCGCGCCACCTCGGTGCCAGCACGCTGGCCTCGGGCAGGTTAGGAGGCAGCGATTCGGTTCAGCTTGCGGACTGTGTTTGCTCATTATTTTAGGTTTGAGTCTGCAGAGAAATGGAAAGATGTCATGCTAGTTCTGTCATGACCTGCTTTGTTTTTTCCATCCTGACGGGCTGTGTCACGAGTGCACATGACTACCACGCTTCTGGGTTAAAGCCCCTTCACCCCAGATGTTTCCGCAGTAAATTACGGGCTGTTTTTGCAGAAGCAGAAATTGAGGTCAATATGCAAACAAAAGGCGTACAAACCAGTTTCTGACTTGAGAAAGTTTCTGCGTGTGGATGGGAACGATGCTGGGTTCACAGCTACTTCCAAACAAAAATAATCACCTGTTGCTGTCGGTGGGCACTGCACGCGGGAGGCCTGGGCAGCCTGTGAGCTTGGTTAAGATGTGCTTGGTTCTGCTCCAAGTATTTGCCAGCTCTCAAAATCTTTTTTGTTTCAGCTCCTCACCGTGGTGGGAAGCAGAGCAAGGAGTCTGTTTGAGTCAAGCTGCTGCACTAATTGATATTTGTCAAAAATCATATGCAAAGCAAGTAATTATTGCTAGCTGCAAGGAAATCTGGCACGATATTGCAAGATCTTTTTATGAAATGGGCATTTGCCATCTTAGATACTGTGTCTTGTCCTTACATCTCTCTAAAGGTGCCTTTTACATCTCTCTAAATTGGTGGAGTTTAATAGTAACCATTAGATAAATTGGTCAGTAAAGCCCTTTCCCGTGCACCTTTGTCACCGGCCTGTTCTTTTTGCACCTCTCCAGTCCCCTGGTGGTGTTGGTGACAGTCTCTGCATGGCCAAGGTGGATTATATAAAACAAATCATTTTCTTCTCCAAAACAGAACAAGCTTCCAGGCAAGCCTCTGTGCAGAGGGGATCTGGGATTCTCCTAGCAGATGCATCCTGACTCATCCCTGTTTGCCCCTGCTCCCTCTGGTCTCCAGTGAATTAGCAGTCTCTCTGCAGTGTGTTCTTACAGGTCCCAAGGCTCCCATTCCCCCTTTATGTTCCCATGGCTCTTACATGGTGCAGTAATTTTGTCCCAAATGCTTCTGTGAGATGGTGCAAGCAACACCTATTATGGTTACACCAACATTTTCTCTTGAAAAAGAGGGAGGTGATGAATGGTGAAGAGCAAATTGCTACCGTTTCTTGTCAGTTATTATTATTATTTTTTTTCTCTCCAATATCAGCTCCTCTCATGAGCTGGGAGACTGATGTCATTTTGCTTCCTAAGCGCAAAGGCGAAATACATGGTATTCGTGCCAGCCCCTAATCTTCCCGTAATGCCTTTAATGGTGCCGTTACTCCTTCCAGTTCCTTTTCAGAGGTTTTTCGTTGCCCAAGCGCCCCTGGACGTGGGGCCGGGCCGCGTTCCGGTCCGGCGCGGGCTGCCCCCGCGGAGCTCGGGCGCGGTGTCACCTCGGTCCCAAATGCTTCTGTGAGATGGTGCAGGCAACACCTATTATGGTTACACCAACCTTTTTTGAAAAAGAGGGAGGTGATGAATAGAATGGTGAAGAGCAAACTGCTACTGTTTCTGATCAGTTATTGTAAACATTATTTTTTTTTTTTTAAATCAGCTCCTCTCATGAGCTGGGAAACTGATGTCATTTTGCTTCCTAAGCGCAAAGGCGAAATACATGGTATTCGTGCCAGCCCCTAATCTTCCCGTAATGCCTTTAATGGTGCCGTTACTCCTTCCAGTTCCTTTTCAGAGGTTTTTCGTTGCCCAAGCGCCCCTGGACGTGGGGCCGGGCCGCGTTCCGGTCCGGCGCGGGCTGCCCCCGCGGAGCTCGGGCGCGGTGTCACCTCGACCCTGCGCCGTTTTGCTCTTTCGGAAACGCCGCCGCCAGCCCACAGATCAGCACGTGGGGGGCTGTGTTTGCCCGCTGCTGTTTACGAGGAAAACCAGCTGCGTGGCGTGGGCAGGGCGGCGAGGGCTGCGCTGGCGTTGTCAACCGCTCGCTTGGTGTGACAGCCCTGGAGCAACAGCCTGCGAGGGCGGAGGGCCGAGCAGCTCCCTGCTCCTCAGGGTGTCCTTGCTCCAAGGAAGGTTCACGATGCAAACAGTATCCACGGAAATAAAACTCTGCATCTGAGTGCTGCCGTGCTCAAACCTCCACCTTGCTCTGTGCTTCACCTCGGTGATGAAAAGTGCAGCTTAAGAGCTGAGTCCTGTCCCAAGTATTTCATTTCTCTGATTGCTGGTTACACTCAGCTGGAATGACACCTCAAGTAGCTATTGTTTAATGCCCTAATATTACTGATTACACGAAAACTACTTTATAATTTAAGTTATATTGCCTTTTGGGGCACTGAGACTGCTTATGGAAGGGTCTTTGTCTCCTGTTCTGCTTGGGAAGGGCCTAACACCCTGGGGATCCAGCAATCTAAAGTATAAACATTAATAATACAGTGCATATTATTCAAATGAAGGCTGCTGCTTCTCCTTTGTGGGAATAAACCCCAGGGTAATCGCTGTACCTACTCATCTGTTCCTATAATTGCTTTCTGCAGAATCACTTCGCTCGCAGGATGCTGCTCTCCGTGCTGTGGCCCCGCGCGCACTGGCCCGTCCGCTGCCTCCTCCGTGACCCTCAGTGTCACCCACGGTGGCTCCTTGGGCACAAGAGGGCTGGCTGTGCCCGCAGGGGCCTGCAAACCACGTGGACGGCCTGTAGTGTCACCCCTGTTTTCACCAGGGCTTTGGCTTTTGGTGATAAAATTGCCATCGTGGACCAGAATGGTGAGCACACGTACAGGGACCTTTACAGCCGGAGCCTGCGCTTGTCCCAGGAGATCTGTAGAGTCCTCAAGTGCTCCGACAGGGACTTGAAGGAAGAGAGGATCTCGTTTTTGTGTCCCAATGACTCCTCGTACGTGGTTGCCCAGTGGGCCTCGTGGATGAGCGGGGCCATAGCAGTGCCCCTGTACAAGAAGCACCCTGCGCAGGAGCTGGAGTATGTGATCCAGGACTCGCAGAGCGCTCTGCTCCTCGTGGCAGAGGAATACCTGGAGAAAATGGCCCCTAGTGCTGCCAAGCTGGGAGTGCCGGTTTTGCCGCTCCTTAGATCTCGGAGCGATGGATCCGCAAGCCGCGGAGAGCTGGAAGAGCTGCCCTTACCCAGCTCCGCGTGGAGAGGCAGAGGGGCCATGATCATCTACACCAGCGGGACAACAGGGAGGCCCAAGGGTGTCCTCAGCACCCACGAGAACGTGCAGGCCGTGGTGAGTGACAGAGACCTCGACCCTCGCAGGGGACCTGGGGCTGTGTAGCCAACGCGCTTCAACACGGAGCTCTGCACGGAGCTGTGGGCTGTGCTGTGGAAATCCTGCACGCTCCGAGGGTGAACACAAAACTGGGAAGCACTGGGCGCTCTGCACCTCATGCAGCACTGCTGCTGCTTTACTGCAGCTAGTGGCAGGTGGGCCCTTCTGCCTGGTTCCCTGGAAAGCAGAAAGGATGGGAGCTGTTGGGAAAAAAAGCCTGTTTTTGCAGTTTGCTGTCCCTCACTGCGCCTAGGAAAGTACCTTTGCCCCTCGTTGGAGGAGCCCAGCGCAGTGCTGTGCTGTGTGAAGTCTGTGCATTATTTAGCTATATATCCCCAAGGCAAAAAATCCATTAGCTCTCTGAGCCAAAAGGAATTAAAAGTTTGAAGGAGCCTGCTGACTACCTCACCAGCTTGTTATCACTGCTTGCAACTGATAGACTCGTGCCAGTAGGGAAAAAGGGCCGGGAATGCCGCGAGCCTCGTGGTCGTGTCCCAGAGCTCGCATAGTCCTCGATGCTCAGATCCTGCAGTGACAGGAGTGTATGGAAACTTTGATGGACAGAACCAGGGCTTGGCTATATTAGGCAAAGAATCTGTTCCCTCCCAGACACGCTGATAATTTGGGAGGCAGCCTGAACAGTGATTGTCTTCCGTGCTGCAGAAAGCCCAAAACCTCCCCCCGGTACCGCGGAAGAGGGAAGAGAGCTGTGAATGATGTGATTGGATTCCACTGTTCAAATACTTGTTTATTTTTAGGCAACTGAAAATAAGTTATCTGATTGTTAAGTTGGGGTCTGAAGGCCATTGTGCCAACCAAAAGCCTAAGGTCTAATACTTCAGATAATTAGCCTGTCATAGCAGCGTGTTTTAGAGATTCAATATATTAATATATTTCTTCACTAACATAGAGCCTATTTTGTTTCCGTGGGACATTATTTTCCTGTTCCCACACTAGCCATCCCTTGTGGATGCTAAGAAGCCAATGTCTGCAGCATACAGACTACATCAATATAGTTTCTGGAAAAAAAAAATGCCCTTTTTGATTACTATTTCGGCCAGCTTTGGTTGAGCAGAAACAGGCTAATAATTTTGTATGTCCTATTTAAAACCATTATTGACTCCTTATTTCTCAGTAACAAGGAAGGACTCGAAAATGTATCGAAACACATATAGAAAAGAGGCAGAGGATGTTCCTGCTGCATTCTGATTTTTATGGTGGGAATTTTGCTCCTGCTGGGCCTCAAGGAAAGGCCTCAGGGCCCCGTGGAGGCTCGAGGTTTCTGCCGTCGGTCCTTTCTGCTGGAGGATCTTGGCTTTGGATCCGCTGGGCTTTTCCAGCAGCCAGAGGCTTTGCTGTAGCTCTTATGCTGAATTATGTGTTTTCTCCTGCAGACAACAGGGCTGGTTGACAAGTGGGAGTGGAAGAAGGAAGATGTTATTCTGCACGTGCTGCCTTTACATCATGTCCATGGGGTGATCAATAAGCTGCTCTGTCCTCTCTGGGTGGGAGCGACATGCATCATGTTACCCGAATTCAGTGCACAGATGGTAAGCCTGGAGGGATCGCGCGTTGCCTTTGAAACGGAGCGGCAAGACCCCATGCATTGTAATTAGAGCAACTTTGGAAATAAGTTCTTAAACAATTTCAGCCTCTTTAGCTACTGGCTGCATGCGGTTTGCAAACTGCCTGTTAAAAACACTTTCAATTGGACACTCAGTCTGGGGTAAACGTGTTCTCCTCAGCGTTACTGCTTGTTTGAGTATCACACAGCTAATGGCAATGCTGTGCTGCCCCTCCTAGCTGTGTTGGGGGTCTCTGGTTGGAGGTGGGTCCTTCCAAGCACCCACTAGCAGCATCTGCACGCAGAGTAAGGGTGGTTGTTTTTCTAGCACCAAGAAGGGGTGGAGGCACTGCTTTTTCCCTGCCCTGCTGGCAATGCTCTGCCTGCAGCTATACTGTTTGTCTGATACTTTCATTTTGGTAATTTGTGTTTCCCTCGTATTCTCTCCTCGATGTTTTGTGCTCTATCACTTGCTAGCGTATGGACCTGAGGGTTTCTTGTAATCCAGGTAAGGGCAATACTAATGCCTAGCACTTAAACAGCTATGTAGCTTTTCATCTGCAGAGATACAAGTGTAAACAGATCTGTCGATTTAGCTTCAGCAGCTTGAGTGACAGCTTGCAAATTGAGGCTTTTTGCAACTTTGCAGTAGAGGTGGCAGGAGGGAGATCTTACTTGAGTGTGGTAGAGTCTTGTTTTCCAGTAGAGACAGGAAACCCCAGTCCTGGTGCCCTGTTTCTCTTTTGCTGCTCTCCTTTTTGTGTCTTGCCCTGGTAGCAGGCAACTGACCTAAAGAGAGGAAGAAACAGGGCAACGAACAGTAAGGCAAAATAATTTCTACGGCTGCTGGCCCCTGGGATCCAGCCCTGTTCATCTGTGTGTCTCGATGTCACGGGCAGTGTGAGAGACACTGGAATTTGGTGTAACTCGTGCTGTCTCCTTTGTGCTGAACAGTTAAGGGAGCAATTGGGCTTTCAGGTGCCGGTGCCAGCGCCTATCCAGGAGGGAGGTGTGCTCTGTGCTGCAGAACACCCTGCAAAGTGGAAGGAGCCTGCCAGGCCCGTGCTCTGGGACAGAGCAGGCTATTTTACTTGCTCATATTTCTTCACACACTGTACAGCCTTTTCAGGCCTGGAGGACAAAGTGCAAATGTGTAGGATACACCCAACAGCCTGCGGCTGTGCTCCAGAGGCGAGGGAGAGCCTGGGCTCCAGCGGGAGCGATCCCGGAACGCTGTGATTCTTCTCCGGGAAGCAAGCACAGAAAGTGCACGCTTCCCTTCTCACTGGCACCTGAAAACCCGCTTGCTCCCTGGGCACTGATCCCACTGAGGGCACCGGATCCCAGCGGGACAGCTCTGCATTCGCGTTGCCAGAGCAAATGGAGAGGATGTGGTTGCAGGGAGGGACAGCAGGCTCCCCGGGCAGCCCCGGCCGCTACCGCTCTCCTGTTGCTGCCCAATTTTGGAGTATCACCCCAAAAACCTCCATGCTGTCCTTGCAGCTCTGGGTGCACCTGGGCTCCGTGCGCTGGCCCTGCCGGTGCCCGCGGGCAGCGCTGGCTGCTGCGGGAGGCAGGAGAGCACCCGGAGGGCCGGGAAGCCCAGCCGGGCCCTCGGGAGGGCGCGGGTGATTGATCGTCCCTTTTACCCTTGTGTTTTTCCGTGCTCTCTCCCGACATCTGCAAATCAATGAGCTGGCGTTGAAGGATGGTTCGGGTGCCGGCAGCGGGATGCTCAGCCTGCCTTCTCTGATCAAAGCTCTCCGCAGGGCTTGACAGCCAAGGGCAAGTGAGGACAGTGCTGCGGGGCATCCTCTTGACCCTGGCGCTTGAACTTGGGCAGGGAGGTGGTGGCAAGCGTGCCTGGTGAGCGAGCTTCCTTCCGGGGCCTCTCAGGTGCTTTTGGGCTCTGAAGGACGTCATTTGCTCTTCTATTTTTCTTATTCCTTTTATTTTTCCGAGGGCCTCCCCTGGGAGCTGAAAGTGGTTTGATCGACACTACAAAGAAAGCACATGAGGGTAAATAAGGCTTTCTTGTGGAGTTTAATGCAAGCTGCCTTTCAGTTCCAGTCTATTTTCAGCAGCTGTTTACAAAATGCCCTTTGCTACTGAAATCAGCTTTCAGAAAAGCAGTGGAGTTTCGGCGGAGGATTTTGCAAAAGCAGCCTAAGTTTTGCTGTGTGCTTTTTCTCTTCGTTGCACCTTGAGAAAGCAGCCAATTATAGTGTGATGTAAAGAAACCCGAATGGCAGCTAAAACACTTGACAGGCTGATCAAAACAAGGCTAGGAACTTACTCTCAACCTGCTGCAGACATATTTAGCCCTGAGTGATACTGGCATGGGTTCAAGAGAAACCGCAGCAGCATGCCCAATGTGTGTTTGGTTTCTAATCACTAACACTTCATTATACAAAATAAATACTTTATTATTACAGTGTTTATTAAATTACATAATTTGTGGTGTGCCTTATAGTTGTGGATACAGATGCCAGTCTGGTTTAGTTGGTAGTAAAGGTGCTCTGTGATGCTCAAGCCCCTGACCAAGGCCCTCTTGTCATTCCCTGCGGTGCAATGTTAGGAGGTGACAACTTTCAGACCCTTCTGTCTGGTTTTGGTGGCCGTCCAATGAAAGGTTAAAAATCAGGGCTGTGGAATAACCCCAGTGTCCTGACCAGCATCCACTCTCTTACTAAAACAGCATCTGATGTCCAGAGCTGCATGCGGGCTATTGCTGAGGCCACAAGGGCTCATTAAAGTGTATGGAGATGCCTCAAGCATGAAAGTTGCTGCAGAAAATCAGATTCTTTTTATTAAATGAGGGCATCCGTTACTTTGCACTAGCTACTGTACATGCTATAATTCACTTTATAGCACCATCTGTCTTGCTTAAGCTTTTTGTAGCATCTTTTCATTGTAAGTTATTAAAGAATATGGCTGCATCTATTAATCACTTATTAGGAAAGGGCTGATAAACAGACCCTTTATCTGCAGCGTTGTCCACTCCTGTGTGTCTGGTCCGAGTCCTTGGGCAGCTCCCTGGGGCGCAGCCTGTCTCCTCTCACAGCCCTTCTCAGGCTGCTGCCCGACCTCCTGCCTGGAGCTGTGGAAATCAGCACCCGGAGCTTGGGAATGACAGCTCTCCTTGCGGGACAAGACCTGCCGGTGCTGCTGAGAGCGGGAGGGAGAGCAGGAAACTTGAATGCTGTCCATCCCAGCAGCCGTGGGGGCAAGGGCAGCTCTGACGTTGTTTTCTTGGGAAAGCTGGGAGCTGTGAAGGCAGGAATCTCCTTTGGAGCTGGAGGAAGCTGCAGCCTCAGCTCCCCATGTGATGGTCCTGTTGTAGTTTCCTTCCATCTCAATGTGCTTCTGCAGCCGCGCTGTCTCTTTCCCAGTAACTTCTGCACCCAGCAGACACCAAGACGTCTCATTCTGAGCTTGAACAACTGGGACAGCTTGTTCTTCCCTGGATTGCCTCTGATCCTGTCCGAGCTGCTAAAGGCAAAAATGATCTAATGGCAAAAGGCTCCGTGTCTGCTGCTTGCAGTGATAAATGTGAGCCCAGATCCCAGCAGGCCTCTCAGCCTCAAGTGGAGGGTAAGATAAAAGTTCTGCAGAAACACGAAGGGAGAAGCTCGCCGCAAATGAGCGGTGGAGGGTTTGATAGAAGTCTAAACTCTGTGTGACCCAGCTGTGGTGTGTGCTGCCCGCTCGGCTCTGCCGGGCCGTGGCGTGGTGCCCGCGGGACGACAGCGACGCCTGGCCCTCGCAACCGCTTTGATGATAAATATGCTGAAATGTACATGTATTACGCCAAACTCCCCAAAGAAGCAGCTGTGTTGGTGCCAGCAGTGCTGGATGTCTGACTTAAGGTGCCTCCGAGGATCCAGCCCTCTAAAATCATACTCAGTTTGGCAATGTCACACACAAAGCCATCAAAATCATTAATCTTTGCTGTGGGTTGGGGCCCTTGTTTCTTGGTGTTTGTTTTGAGGAGAAGTACGAGTGCAGGGAGCCGCTGTGTGACTTGGTGTCAATTCCCTGGGCATGCAGCAAGCGTGCCCTGGCTCCGGGCAGCTTCTGCACGTGCTGGGAGGCCCTTGCAGCCCTGGCGCTCGTGGGGTTTCACGCAAGCCCACGGTCACTGCTGCTCTGGGAGGTTGTCCCGCTGCTTCCCGTGAATTCCCGCTTCCTCCTCCGGCCCGGGAACCTGTGCTGTGCCTCTTTGCAAGCAGTTTGTCCCCGTTGCTGCTTTATCTGTGCTAACCAGGTGAATGCTGCATGCTGCCGTGTTTCTCGCCTTTGCTTGGCCATGCAGGGAGATCCCACAATAGCCGTGTTGCCTCTGGGAAAGAGAAGCAGGCGCTGCAGTATCCATCCTCTCCCCTGCTTGTGCTCCCTTGTCAGCATCAGTCTGAGGGGCTTTATTAGTCTATGCTTAAAATAAAAGCACCCCTGAGCGTGCGAGGCTGTGAACTGTAGTGCTAGGCTGGTGCCCTCGGTGTGCTGGGGATTGCGGGTCCCATCCAGTTTCAGCTGGAGAAAGACAATTCTCTTTTCATCTGCTAATCGGAGGCTTCAGAGGAGTAATTTTATTTCCGACTCAAAGGGAAGCCGGTGGAGGGAGGAGCAGGTCACTAGTGAATGGATTATGTTTGATCACTTCGCGCAGACCTGGCTTTAAAAAGTTACAGTTTTTCTTCACGTCTCCCCAGATCTGCCGTCTGTCCTCAGCATCTGTTATGGAGTAATGTCTTTTGATGTGTGTGGGGAAAAATAAGAAATGGAACCAGAGCCTGTCATATTTACTTATATTACTGGGTCCCAGGGAAAGCACTTGCTCCTTTCAGTATGCCTACAGCATAGTCAGGGTTTAAAAGCTTCAGACTGGAATGCAGAGGGGCCATCAAACTGCACTGATGAATAAATGATTAAAACCAGAGTCATGCGGAGCGCAAACAGTTTGGGGTTATAACAAACATGCGATGAAGCCACCAAGGGCCCAATTTCCCTTTGAAGACAAGAATATTTCTTTCCTGCAAACTGCTCGTGAGCAGCCTGGGTCGAAGCAACCATCGACGGTTCGACTGTCAGGAGAAGGCAGAGCTCCCCTTGCTGCTCTGCCGCCCTCTCTCCTGTCTTCCCTTCAATCAGGGGGAAAAAAATATGTGCCAGGCGTGTCTGTGCCTGTAGAATTAAGGAGAGCCTTTTACCTTTGGCACGGGGCAGCTGTGGATCCGCGCTGGACGGAGCCGCTGCTCTCGGGATGTCTGGAAATCGGGAGCGTCGCTTCCTCGCAAAAATATGTGCCAGGCGTGTCTGTGCCCATAATTAAGGAGAGCCTTTTACCTTCGGCACGGGGCAGCTGCGGATCCGCGCTGGACGGAGCTGCTGCTCTCGGGATGTCTGGAAATTGGGCACGTCGCTTCCTCGTGGGCAGCGCTACCCGCGCGCAGGGATCGATGCCAAACCCAGAGCTGCCTCGCACATCCAAAGGGGAGTGAAGGGATGGTTTAACCTTGCATTAGTGGAATTGTTACTTATGAAAAGGCTTAAAAAAATTCAATAACAGCTGAAAATGATACAACAATTTTAGACTGGCTTTGAAGAGCAGTGCTGCTGTATTTGTCAATAGATGCAGCAGGGCATGTTGCCTGCTACCTGTTTTGGTTTGATGGGAAAACTCATGATGCTGGTCACTTTCCTTGCAGCTTTTGGGTGTTTTTGCCTTCATCTCTTCCAAATGCTTCTGAGGTCCCTGTATCAGGTGCAGTGTGGCTGGATGCAGTGCACAAGTGCTTGTTGCCTTCTCCCTTCCTTCTTTCTGCTGTGCTAGATGCCCAGATACTGGCAACTTCAGGGGGTTTTGTCTAGTTTACAGCATGTGCTTCTGCCATGAGGTCTCTGTAAGGAATAAAAGTCGGTGGCTTTTCTAGTCTGCGTTTGTGTCCTTTCCCTCCAGAGCAGATCTGGATGCCATGGAAAGGTTGTCACATGGAAAAGCATTTTATTAGAGCAGCTTGCACGTTCATCCATCCCCATTTCATCCTGCCATCCGTATGCTGTAAGAACTAGGTGGGGAAGTCCTGTGGCTTTGTCAGACTCGGGGTGTTTTATTGCCTCTGGTGCTTTGATTTTCTCTGTTTTTTAAAGTTTCTAAATTTTACCTACCGAGGGCAAAACACCACCTGAGGTATCAGGAGGGCAAAATAAAAATGGAACGTGTCCCCCCTCGGCGGCTCTTGTCCCCGCTCCGAGCAGCTGCCCATCCTCAGGACGGGGCCAGGACGAGGCGGGCTGACCCGGGAGAGCCGCTCCGTGGCCGCCGCTCGCGGTGGAAAGGCTTTTTATTTAACGCAGGAGCCGAGCAGAGGGGATTCCGTGGCGCAGGAGGGAGCTGCTGCGTGTTGGAGCGGTGTTTTTGTGTTTTAAATCAATGCACGGACAGGCAGTCCCGAGGCTGCCCGTGTTCCCCGCTGCTGCTCTGGGCTCCCGGTGGCGAGTCGCGCAGCGAGGAGCCGGTGGTCCCCAGGCATCTGTCTCGCGGAGTCTTTTGGCACGGTTGTGATCCCTGCTTGCTCACCTGCCCAAGGTGACGGCTCCCAGGAGCGCCGAGCGGAGAGGAAGAGGCCCTGGTTGGCTCCTGGGTTTGGAGATATCCTTCTCCGTGCAGCTGCCTCGGATGGGAAGGGTACAGAAGGGTGGGAAAGATGCGCAGCTCCCGGCTCGGGCTCTTTGCAGAGCGCTGCAGCAACAAGGCACAGCCAGAGCGCCGTTTCCTTGGCACGGGGCATCACGTTCCCTCTCTGGGAATGTTTTCCTGGGAGACTGTCCTTCCTCTGCTATCCCCATGGCTGAGGGCTCCTTAGAGCACCCGTGTCCCAGCTCCCACGGGGCTGAAGGGAGGTTGAGGCCCTCTCTGGCCAGTGAATCTCCGACTCGGGCGTTTATCCCATTCGGTCGAGGGCCCGGAGGCAGCAGACGCTCCCTTCTGCTCAGGGGGACGGTGCCTTTGTTGGATGTGTCCTGCTATATTAAGAATAACAACGTGGTGCGTATTTTTTTGTTTGTTTTAAGAGCTGATTGTTCTGGAGCAGTGAAGTGAGAGACACGGGGAGAGGGAGGGAGCGGCGCGGAGAGGAGGTGCTGGCGCGGTGAAGTAGAAAGTAATGAAATTGAGCCAGCGAGAGAGGGCTGAGGGGAAAGGAGCAGACTCACCAGCATGCAGGGTGACAGCATGAAGGAGAATCACTTGTTCACCTTCAATCAATTCCTGCTTTTTCTTCCCCCCATTGCACACGCCTGTGTGCAGCTGAGCGTGCACCGGGAGGCAGGGCAGAGGAGGCTGCGTTGTCAGGAGCTGTTAGGAAATACATTTGTCAGCAACGGGGCAGGAACCAGGGAGAAAGGAAGGAGGTGGCCGTCACCAAAGCCGTAGCTTTTTATTTATTGATGGATTCGTTTCATTCCTGTGCTGGGGAGTGCTCACCTAGGGGCAAGAGTGACAGAGTGTGGAAGAAGTGGGTCCAATTTCAATATTTATGCAGCCTTCCCACTGCTAAATGCTCCCAGGTGGAGCTGTTCAGCCAGTTCAGCAGCCCTGGGGTCACCCGCACTTCATTCCCCTCCAGTAGATCCAGCTCCTGGAATTTGACCCAATTTGTTGTTCCCACAGGTTAATAGGAACTGCAGCTCAAGGAGCTTCTGTCCTGCAGGGACCATTTCTTCTGGAGCAGTGTGGTTAGTGAACAGGCTCTCCAAGGTAGCTGCTCTGTCTCTTGGCCTGTGGCTGCACATGGGGGACACATCTCCATGTGCCCTGTCCGTTGCAATAGTCTCACAATTGGAGTTCATAATTCCTCTTCTTCCCACCTCTCCTACCATTCCTGTTAGCAGCGTTTCTGCCTCGAGCATTCAGTCCATCAGCTCTAACCCGTGTACCATGGGGAAGGCCTCCGTGCTTGGAAAAGCTGATGACTTTGTGGGGCATCCGAGTGGCTGCGTGTGCTAAAGGAACTGCTTGGAGGGGGATTCGTTGCTGAACGGTTGGTGATCCTTTGCTGGGATCGGAGTTGAATACTGTGTTCAATAGCGTGATGGGAGGTGGGAGTCCTGGATGTGGAGCAGTTGCATCCGACCGGCTTCCAGCAGCTCATCCTTTCCATCACCCGTAGATAGCGTTACGGATCCGAGGTTGGTTGGTTCGTGCTGAGCCCTGCGTGGCTCTGCTTTGGCCCTGCTCAGCCTCCCGTGGCACGGTGCTGGGGAGCAGTGGTGGGGCTGCCTGTCCCTTGGAGCCCCTGCTTGGGAACCCGCTCAAAGGTGTTGAGCACTCACGCTGGTAACGTTAAGGATCACTTCCTCCTACACTTGGTATTGAAGTATATTTTTATACATGTATATATTTTTAAATGTATGTATTTCCCCATCTCTAGGTTTGGAAGAAGTTCTTAAACTCCCAAGAGCCTCGTGTCAATGTCTTCATGGCAGTACCCACTATTTATGCCAAACTGATTGAGTATTATGACAAACATTTCTCTCAACCACAAGTCCAGGATTTTGTGCGTGCCTATTGCCAGGACAACATCAGGTAGGTGGGAGATGCCCTTCTTCAGCACTGAAGGACAAGGTGGCTGCTGGTGGCTCCCTGTTCCCCCAGGGGCTCTGCTGAGTTCTCTTAGCTTTACCTCTTCACAGTGCCAGGTAGTTTAACGTGTTTTAGCATCTCTAGCTGACAGGAGCCAGGGTGACGTTATTTAATTATGAGCCACTCTTGCATGGTAGAGCCAGAAGGGGTCTGCATGCTTGCTGTGTGTGCTGCCCTGCATAACACAAGGCTGAAGACTTCATCGTGCAGCCCAAGCTTGTGCTGCAGCATCTCTTTTAGGGGGCTGTCCCATCTTGACTTGGAAACCATAACACACAGGGAATCTGTTATATATGATGGGCATGCCTGACACTGGTTAAAAGGCTTTTGGAGCCTCTGTTTTAAGGTTTTATATAAGAGCAGACTTTATGCACCGTGCATTAGAATGCAAATTCTCTGGAGCAAAAGTGGTCTTGGATGTTTTCTTACGTGGGGTTTCCTTGTGCAGGTTAATGGTGTCAGGCTCAGCCGCCCTGCCTGTGCCTGTCCTGGAGAAGTGGAAGAACATCACTGGGCACACATTGCTGGAGAGGTACGGGATGACTGAGATTGGGATGGCACTTTCTAACCCTTTGCATGGAGACCGTGTGCCAGGTAGGACTTTCTAGGAGATGAGCCCTGTTTGGAGGTGTTTTGCTCTGAGATATTCTTGGTTTTTTCTCTTCAGAATATCTGTCCACAGTTTGTTGTGATAGAAGAGCAGGCTCGTGTAGGAATACTGATCCCACTAGGGAGTTTGGCATATCTGAGTGAGCCTGAAAGAGGTCATGAGTTTGTAGAAGAGGCAGGTGGGTTTCCCTTCACTTACTGGCCATGGTGCATTGGCAAAGCTGTGTGTGCAGAGCTTGCAGTGGCCCACAGCCCGACCTGCCCAGCCAGACCAGTTCTGTCCAGGAGGCAGAGTCTGTCCTGGGTGCTATTGCCAAAGTCTTAGCACAAATGCTGTGGTGGGACTTGCATCTACAGCTCCTGCTTTGTGAAAATTATTTGTGTGTGTGGTGTTGGCACTGGATTCTCCACAGAGCAGTAGTGCCAAGCCAGCCACAGAATATTTGGGGTTGGAAGGGACCTCTGATGGTCTTCTGGTCCAACTTTCCTGCTCAAGAAGGGTCAGCTAAAGCAGGTTGCCCAGGGCTCTGTCCTGTTGGGTTTTGAGTATCTGCAAGGATGAGCAGCACTGAGAAGAGCCTGGCTCTATCCCCTTTACCCCTTCCCAATCAATATTTACACCGATAAGATCCCCCCTGAGCCTTCTCTTCTCCAGGCTAAACAGTTCCAGCTTTCCCAGCTTCTCCTCATATGAGAGATATTCCAGGCCCGTAATCATCTTTGTGGTCCTTCAGTCAATACTGAACATTTAAAATAGGTTGTCTGCTCACTCTTATTTTAGTGCAAGTTTCTTGACTCTTCAGAAACTGGAAATTGTCACACCTCCTTGTACATTCTGGCTCTGTTCTCTCCTTACATTCCCCCACTTCTTTCAGCTACACTTTGTGACTCCTCAATATCTGTAATTTTATATAACCTAGAAAGAAATCGATCTAAAACATTAAAAATATAGAATGTCCCCACCCTCTCACTGGTGCAGAACGTGGCCATCTGTCTGCCGAGCAGCCCAGCCCACCACTATGCCACCTTCTCCTCCCCACATGCTGTCCACACACACGTGGCACCATATGCATCATTTTGGTCTCCAGTATCTTATGGGGCCATCGTTGCTGGGGACTTTCTGTGCATTATAGCTTGCCAGAGCACCTCGATCCCACAGGATGGAGAAGCTGTTCCAAGGAAGGGATTGTACAGGGTGTGGAGAAGCCACAGCTCCCTCTGGCACTGCCTGCTGCACCTAAAAGAGCTATAGGGCGGCACAAGATGCACGCTCCAGGACACAAACTTTTGCAGGGTAACCGTGCTTCCCCCTCCAGGACTCAGCCAGGATTCCTTTTCCCTCTAAATCCCATCTGTGGAGGCTGGATAAGAAAGCAGGCAGGATATCTAGACTCCTACCTGCATGAACCAGAGCTTTCCACGAGCCCTTTGGTGCAATCTGAGATCATTTAACTGTCATTATGGCCTGGTACAGCTTTTCCTTCACCTTCAGTAGTGGAAATGTGTGGAGTATTTAGGAATGTCATAGGAGACATGGGCAAAAAGGAAACAGGACTAAAAGTAAAATGGGAAAGAAGGAGAAATTAGCAGCAGAGAAGGCAAATCCTCTTGCAGAGCTGGGTGACGGGCGCTCCAAAGAGAGGCCACGAGGAGCCTCTGGAGTACTGGGAGAGCCGGGAACAACCGGAGGGACGGAGGGACGGAGGGTGACAGCTGACTGACGGACTGTCCCTGTCCCCGCCATCCTGGGGGGGTGCTGGAGCCCTGGGAAGGGACGGAGGGGCGACTCAGAGGTGTGGAGCAGCTAGAGACCGCACGGAAAGGAGGCCGTAATTTAATAGGCCTGATTAATTTATTTAGGGAAGTGTCAGTTGGGAAGCAGATGGGTGAAGCTGAGGCATAATTTACTTGAGCGGTGAAAAAGCTTTTGATAGAGTACCCCATTAGAGGCTGGGATGTAAGGTCACAGGTACAACAGAGTGTGGGGTGTGAAGGAGTCAACGGAGAAACGCGGTAATTGGTTGGGAACGGAGTGGGAGCCGGGGC